TGATCCGTGACGCTGTGCTAAAAAGCTTGTCGGATGTGTCAAGTGTCTCTGCAATCTGCGTAAGCGCGTTTTGCAGCGCCGGACACGAGCGCATGATAAACAAGTGCTTGATGGCGCGGAATGCGAGCGGCAGGTTAGGTGTGGAGGCAAGTCTTTGAAACTCGGTGATCCAGTCCTGACTGAGCAGCGTGTTTTGACTGAGCAGCGTGTTTTGATGGAGCTTGTTGAGCTTGTCCATCGCTTGCAGGTCGGGCGGCTCCACTTGGAATCGCTTGTGCCAGGCGTCAGTCAACTCCTGCCAAGTGAGCTTGGTGTGTAGTTCCGACACTGCTACGCCGAGGCTGGTCAAGATGTTGTCCAGCCATGCTTGACACGCACCACCCGATCGGTGGTACAAGCACGGATGTCGATCGTTGTTCGGGACATGGTGCATGTCGAGCCGGAGAGTAAACTGGCGCCACCACGGGATCGGTTCCGTCTTGGACTGATCGCAGAAGACTGGAATGTCATCTAGCTTGGGTGGGCGCCTGGAGGATGCRGCGGCGGGCGTCACGGTGGCAGCCGCCTGGACCTGCGTCTCCAACTGCAAGTTCGTTGCTTGCTGCGACGTCCTGAAGTCCTGATGCACACGCTTGATATTGCCGACGTCGTCCTCCAAGACTCGAACACGGGTCGCAAGGTTTGCAGGCCCTGCGGCTGCTACAGCTGCTGGCTGTTTTTCCAACGCCTGCAGCCGTGCGACCATCTGGTCCACTGTCTGCTGCAGGTGGAGGATTTCCTCCTGCTGCAGAGCGCAGGTGGCCACGAGGTCGTGGGAGACCTGTGCAAGGGCTGACAGCCCTTTCTCAGTCTCCGGGGCCTTGTCTGTAGATGCCATTTCCACCCAACGTGCGGCCTCATCGCCGATCACGGTCTCCCGTGTGAACAGTCGTTCCCGCTGGCGTGACCGGTGTTCAGCTGCCGCCTGCAGGTCTGCTTCCTCTTGACGAAGTCGGTCCTGTTTCTCCTTCTATCGCTTGGCCTCCTCCTCTTGTTCAAGCTGCTGACGTTCCTTGGCCGCGGCGGCGGCCCTATTGTTGGCCTCTTGAATGAATGCCGCCAGGCGTTCCTCATAGCTGAGGAGGGATTCCCCCGCCTTCCGGTCCATGGCCTTGGTCTGTGATCGAGTGAGCAGTGTCATGCACTGCCGTGCCCGAAGTCTGAGTCACTCGAGGGCCAATCTGACGGACTGGCCCAGTGCCCGGACTGGAGGGGGAGGAACAGGTAGGGGGCAGACAGGTGGGAAGGGTCGGACAGATCCCAAATTGAACAGTTCCCTAATCAAGCAAAGAATAGTAGTTAAGAAAGAATTTAAATAAATCAAAATTCGAAAAGAACAGACTGTCCAATACCACTGAGTGCCGAAAGGGATGCAGAACGCAATAGTAACCCTTCGGTACTCAAACTGGCAGAAACAGAAGAGAAGTATCTTTACAGCTCAGAGTAGGAGTAGGTTGCAAAAG